GTCTGCAACAGAGTGGATGGAGGCTGTAGGAGAGGCAGGAGAGACGATGCTGCTGATGGTGTTAAACAGCACCTTGGGGTTCCCTTTGCTCTGGGACACCAGGTTGGAAAAAAAGGGAACCCTCGCGTCTCTGACTGCAGAGTTAAAGGATGTCAGAAGATCCTTTAGGTGCAGCAGATGGACGCTCACTATTGCTACTATTATTGCTCACTAGTGTTGCAGGGAGCTAGTGTTTATCACAGGGTGAGAGATGGAGGACACCATGGAGGAGTCTCCAGTCCATCACAGGGACATATAGAGACAAACAACAAGTCACACACTCACTCACACCCAGGGACAGTTAGAGTCTCTGATTTGCCTGAGATTCCTGTTTTTGGTCTGTAGGAGGAAGCCGTACCTATGGAAAACCAATGGATGCACGGGTAGAACATGCTAACTTTTCTCTGTTTTTCTTAATGCAATCAGGTAGGGATGTACTTTGACCTTGGAGTTCAGCTTGAATAATTTGGGATTGCGTCCTTGATTATTTTCTTACTCGTTTTTGATCACGCTGTTGTTTATTTTCGTCTTGAGGCTACATCCAAGGAGTCAGCTACAGTCCTGTGGACCATACACTTTTAGACGTGTAGTCAATTACCATATTTTCCGCACCATAAGGCTCACCTGATTATAGGGCGCACAGCCAATCAGCGTCTTAGTTAAAGGTTTGGTCCGCACGACGGTGAAGCAGCACTTCTCGTGGCCGGTCGTCCGCACAGACATTGTGCTGGTCCCCGTTTTCTCCACGGTCCGGTTCACCGGGACGTCGAAGGTAAGTGGGACCTCATCCATGTTGGTGATGTGCTGGGGCTGGATGCTTTTGTCTGCCATCTTCTTAGTGCAACAGGAGCGGAACAACTCTATCTTCTCAGCGTAGTCGGCGGGTAGTTGCTGCGAGACGGTAGTTCTGGTGCGGATAGAAAGCCTCTGCATGAAGCGAAAACACCAGGAAGGGCCTCCTATGAAGTCCGCAATGTCCATCTCTCATGCTAATGCTGCAGCTTTGAGATGAATGGAGATGGTGGAGACGCTTCTGCTCGTGGTGCTACGTGGTGTGGCTGGCTTCACTTGCGTCCTTAATACATGTATAAAAGGCGCATCCGCAGGGGAAGATCAAAGGTTTTTAATAGCACCTTATGGTGCGAAAAATACAGTACATGTAGTCATAGATGTGTGGTTATTACGACAAAGCACCGCTGTAACCCGCCAATTTAACAGCGGTAGAAAAAGCTTCCAGCTTCCGTAAACAAACACACTCATAAGTCACACTTCACGCTTGTAGTAATTTATAATATCTCTGTATCAAATAAATTAGATCAAACAAAAGACCACTTACAGATAGTAATGATGCACTTCCTTTTGGTTCTTCTCAAAATAAAGGATGGGACTGCTGTTTTTTCCAGCCAGTGGTGGCTTTTTTGACTGCTGTGTTATATCCGCGCACCATCGGCGGCTCACAGCGGTGCTTTGTCGTAATGTAGTCTCACGTCTAATTCAGCTCCTGAAAATCCTTCATGTTACTTTTCAGTTTCCATTAGCAGTTGACATGATTATTGAGCTTGCCAGGAATAATTGGTATCATTATCGAGTCATTTTAATCACTTTTGCACACAAAATGCTAGTTTCTGCTATTCACTTCCATTGTTTATGCTAAGCTAAAGCTGACGGACTGCTGCCAGACCAGGAGAATTACTGCGCTGGTTACAAAATGCTTTTTTTCTCACTTATCTAACTCTGGGGAATGTGGAAATATACAAAATTTCACTTAGGGCTGGAATATCCCTTTAACCAGACACTCAACTTGGAACTAGTGAAGTTTGGCCAATACAGGACTGATAAGCTCCCTCCACCTGGTACTGGACAACAATCAAGTTGAAGGAGGGCATGTGCACCTTCAGTATGAGACAACTCTCTTCATAGCTTCCTATGGTCCACTGTAATAAGTCCATTACACAGGTTTTTCTATGATTGAAGGATAAATGAAACCAGACTCAATGATTGTTTTAATGTTTATTTGAAAGGGGGAAGCGTTTGGACCTGTAAGAAGAGTTAGTATGAATATAGAAGATTTAAAGTGGTAAATAAATGACTGAATGTTGTACTTACCTGTTTCCCTTGTGCTTCTGCAAGTGTTACAGCTAAAAGAGTCCCCAGGGAGCTGGAGCACCTAAAGAAGGTTCTGGAGCATTCCATTCAGTAGGAATGGGAGGGGTGACCTGTGAAATTGCTCCAGCAATGCAGATTAGTTTCACTGAATGTTTTTAGGATTGATTAAGGATGTTTCTATTTTTGTATTGTAATTATTTAATGCGATCTTAGAGATGATGATTTAAGTATAATTTAAGAGTATTGAAAGATTGTATTTTTGTATTTACCTGTGTCTAAGTTTTAGGATTAATCCAATTAGGCACACCTGTTATAAATACAGCTCTGTGTTTGTTGGAGAGAGTTGAGTGTTGGATGGAGCGGCAGGCATGGATTTGTGCTGCCTAGATTTTAATTTTGTTAAATGTAAATAAAGTACACTTGGGTCTGCACTGGACAACGGCCTCCTCAGTATTACTTTTCCTCCGGAGAGCATGAGGGTCATTCTGACAAGTGCCTCGGCGCCACATCCACGTTCAGTGTGGTACACACCAAACAGTACTGTGACTACCATTCAGTATTTAAAAAAGCAGACTGAACACATCTTAGTTTAACACATCCCTTTGGAGCCCACCGGCTTCTGGTATAGGAGCATTAAATAAAGTAAACGAAACTAGCTTTAGTGTGATTTTTGTTTTGACTCCCAGTCTCACTGTTTACTGGCTCTTAAAGGCACCTTTCCAAGCAATTGTTGAAGGCACATCCTCTGCAGAGAAAACAATGCTCGGTGTAGTGTGCACACAGTGTTCCAGCAGTTATGCGTACGTCTTTATACACAACATGCATTTTTAATTGATTTTCCGTGCCTCGTTTGTCTGATTTCTTTCATACATATTCTATTCAGATTCAGAACAAGGCTGGTTTATGATGAGGGCGAAAATTAAGTGAGTTATTTGAGGCCCAGCTAATATTCTTTGAATTTAAATTAAACTTTACAGCCATTATTTAGCATAACTGCCGAGTACAGAGAGCATTTAGCTTCATGAAAATGACAAAAATTAGTTATTAAATGATTTAACGTGACAACTTCTTTTAACCTGTTGAGGCATCTTATCTTGACACGCCTACGGATCATCTACTTCTTGTTTATAGCGTATCGGCATTGTTCAGAGTGAACGTGTTTGTGTCTGATGCAGTATCAGAGTTCAGCGGTTCATATCAGTGTTGAGTGGCCAGAGAAGTAACAGGAGTGGGAGATGGATCCACCTCAGTGGGTTCAATCTGTCCCCATCGGACTCACGCAGAACCTCGAACGCACACACACACACACACGAACGCACAAACGTGTATCAGGTAACAAAATATGAATGATTTAACAGCTGTGATAACTGCCTTGAAGAAACTACCAGATTCCTTCACATCTTTGCACCTGAATGCTGACGATCCAGTGACCTTGACCTAGAGGAAGAAGAGGTATGAGGAAGAGTGAAACCTGCTGACAAATACCGAAAGGTGCACAACAATATTTTGGTCTTTATGTCACTTATTGAAATAATATTGCATAAACCACTAGATGGATTTCAGTGACATTCACAGAAAGTCTTTGTTTAATGTTTCTTGATTAACTGGTGGAGTAAACCTGATCCAACATGGCCGCTACAGGTAAACTCTGTTGGTAAGCAGAAAGAAAAAACCGGCTCCGAGTTTGTTTAGCAGATATTGAGCTAGTTTTTGATGTTGCTGTAGCTGAGAGTAATTTTGTACACGCCATGTCCGGATCATGCATCGTCTTAGACTATTGCTACAGACTGTACATCTGAGCCATCTCCTTTCATACTTGTACAGTTCTTAGCAGAACATGATCTGCAGTCAGCATGTCTTCCTCCAATGAATGCAAAGCCTTTAGAGAGACACTATGCAACTTTTTCGTATTTTAAAATCATTTTCTTGAGCCAGTATGTGCTAAAATGACCCTTTACAGGGTTAACGAAAGGCCAGCCAGCCCCAGTTGCCCCTTGTGGCCAGAATATTCCACTTGCGACTTCAGAGTGCCGATCTGGTCTGTTGAACACAGCTGGTTTGTTTGATTTAGTGATGAATCACCCCTGTAGACACTAAGGAAGGCTGGGGAGACATTTCAGCTGTTAAGTTAAAGTGTTAAAAAGATGAACGCACAGCGAGGAAATGGGTTTTGCTTTCGGTTTCACAAGCGGACACTAGGGGGTGCTAAAAGCAAGATAAAACTGCCTAGTCTCCCTTTAATTCTCTAAAATCATGTAGAATTTAGCAAAATGGTCAAAAAGTATAAAAAAGTCAAGACAGACAATGAAACTTTTCTTGTGACCAAACTTTTTTAGTTTCTAAATTTCTAAAACACGGAATCTCTTCACAAACACGAACACAACGCTGATCCGATTACCAAACTGACAGGTTCAACAGAATACCACATTACATTTTTGTTTATTATAACAAATTTATAATGGATATACCAACTTTTGAACTATTAAAATGATTTAGCACCTTACATTCTTCAAAATAATTTAGAAAACCACTTTTTGCGCTAACTGAAGCTCTTGAATTATCTGTGTGAGTTAAAGATTCTGGTGAAAGAGCAACTTAAAAGTGTTAAAAGTTAGTAAACGTATGATATAAAGTCATACCATGTCTGATTTTCTTTACTGAGTAAAAACCTTGCAAAAACAGTTTCCACAAGCAACTCTAATAATCCTAGTGTTTTCTTAATCGTATAAAAGCGTATTTATGGAGTGGATTTGAGCCATTCGGCTAATTCTGTTCCGAGGAGGTTCTGCTGATGATTTTGACATGAGTTTGTACCAAATCCTGCCTAACAAAGACCCAATGATGACCCAGATGCATTTGGCACTTCAACATAAGCTTTTGTTTGTTACCATTTTCCTTTAGGAATGAATCCCGTCACCATGGCATACATAGAAATGTGGTACATCATAGTTTTTTAGCTGCCTTAATGGATTCTTTCAACTGTTTCAAATTCTCAGGTCCATTTCAGGACTCCATGCTGTGTAACTGAGTCTTCCTGTCTTTTTCCCTGCAGGGCTGCAGAGAGAAGCGGCAGGTTAAGGTCCCTGTCCCGCCGCTGGACAGTTGAACTTAGCTGAACTATGTTCCTCTTGTCTCCGTTTGTCTCGTCTCCTGCAGCAGGAAGTTCTCTCCTCTTCTCCTTCTCCTGTCTTAAGCTCTTGAAGACCAGCATTTGTTGTCTCTGCGACGGGAAAGTTGGAGGTTTAGATCCATTAGCAAGGAGACGGGGGTGTTGGGTTCGATTCAGCCCCACCCAGGTCATCTTCCTCCCTCGCTCACCCTTCAGCCCCACGTTGTGCAGGCGAGGAAGAGGAGCAGATGGTGACATTTGTGCCGTCTCCGTGGTACCCAGGTGGCTTATCTCAGGGGAGAGAATGGGGTGTGTGTCAGGCTCCGGGTGCATTCTGGGAGGAATTTTGTCTGAGGGGTAAAATGGCTGCAGCTTCTCCATTCGCTCGTTGATGCTCAGGTGATGAGAGTCATCCAGGTTGTTGATGTGGAAGCAGTCTGACCCGGGCTCCGCAGCGCCATCCGACTGGGTTGTCCTGAGCAGGTGTGTGTGTCGAGAGGGTCTGGACATGCTGCTGTCTCGCGTTGGCTCAGATGGTAAGGGAACTTGGCACGGAGTGGAGTCACAAAGCTTTGATGTGGAGCTTTTTGGAGGAGAGAGACGGACGAGTTCCCTTTCTCCGAACACTGACACTGGAATACATCAGACACAATTCAGAAAGACGTTTCTGCTGTAAATAAAGGCCATGTTCACATCTGAGTTTCTGTAAACCTGAGTACCCCCCCCCACACACACACACACCACGCCCCTTGTCAGTGAAAAAATCCAGTGCATCCACACACCAAGCCTGCAGATGGCAGTAGTTCCCCAAATTTTTGGCTTCTTTGCCAAAACACGTTCCTTTGATGTGGAAATACTACTGTATAACTTTTGTGTGGTTGACTGGCTAAACCGTGGAAAATCGTCTTTTGTGGGATTCCCGGCTTTGTGTACACATGGCCTTAGATTCATACGTGTAAAAACACCTCACCTTCAGGAAACAGCACCTCTCTGGTGTCCAATGTGATGGCGAGCTCCTCATCAGGAGATCTGTCCTCTGCAGAGAGACAGGCTGGGGAGCGGGAGGGGAGGCGTCGGGCTCGAGGGGGGGAGGCAGATAGAGGAAGTTGCGGTAGAGAGGGAGACGGGGCCCGGTTCTCGTCATCCTCTTGGTGGGCCTTTCTGTGCTGGTCCTCATTCCTCTTCCTGTTGTTCTGACCTCGACTTGTCTGCTGGAACCTCAGAAACCGGAGCTGCTTTGAACTTTTCTCACTGGTCGCGTCCACCTGAATACAGGCAGTGATTGGTTGTCAGGAATTGTTGTGGGCTGAACTTTAAAAATTAATTAATTGACCATTTAGTAGTAGAAAAGGAGTCCCCAGGCCAGCCCAAAGTGCTTTAAATGTTTGTTTTTTTCCTTTATCTGCACTTCTCAAGTCGGTTCTGGTGTTAATTTCACCTGTTGGTGAGTCTGTTCCATGTTGTTTCTGTTCCTTTGTGTGTTCTTGCTTGAAAACGTCCAGTCACTGCTCTCCAGCCTCTATGAAATGAATCAGAGATGTGATCAAGCTTAAAAATGATAGAAGATCTGGTATTTAAATTCAATATTCCACATGATATTCCTTATTTTCTGTGCTTGAGATTATGCATTCTTTAAATAAATTCACTGCTTTCTGAAATTGCAGAAAAAACTGTTCCCTTTGAACAAATCATTATTTGCACATTTATTTTAACGATCTGCTTCCCTTTGACAGTTTAGGGGATTCTGTAAAGCAATGACAAATGAAGCTTTGAAGATAAAATGAGTTAACTGTCTTACCTCTAAAATATCTACAAAAACAAAAAACTCTCTAAAGTCAATCTAAATGGATTTAAATGTTGAAGATCCAAAGAGAACACTTTCATCTCTTAAAGAAGACTGCGCCATTTGGCTCCCGTACGTAGACACAGGTTTGTGTGGGTTTGATTGTAGTGTGGAGCGTTCACCTTGCCAGCTTTAGCTCCTTTCTGGCTCCTGGTTAACTTGCTGAGCAGCAGGTGATAGTAGGCCATGAGGCTGGAGGGTCTGTTGTTGGTGAGCGTATGAACGATTTCAGAGACGGAATAACCCAGCGTTTTTGTCAAGTAAGCCAGCACAGATGAGTTGAGCTCCTCTGGATTCAGTCTGAAAATTAACAAAGAAAAGGATTGAAAAATAATCTCAAATGGTAGGAACAAATGGAAAAGATGGATTTACTGAGCTGGAATGAGTTATAAGTGAAGGCCAG